AAAATAATTTCAGCCTTGAGTATTTTGAACAATTTAAAAACTAATGGGTTAAAATAATCTCTTTGTACATTGTATTTTCCAATAAATTATAACTGTATGTTTTTAAGCTGTATTTTTATATAAACTATTAAAATTTAAAATTATAAAATATTTTTAATTAATACATCATAGTATTTAAATTTATGTTGTAATAGATTCAATTTTTTTTATATTTAATCATTATACAAAAATAAATACCAACAAAATTTTGGTTTATCATATAAATATTACACCATATCCATCTAAATATATACATATTGTACAGTTTGCCAAATTTTATAAAAAATATTTTAATCTTAAATCTTTAGTGTCAAAAGAGTCGTTTTTGAACAATATAAGCAATAACACATAAAAAAAATGCAAAAGCAAACATAATGATAATTTTGTCAGTTGTTTCACGTTGTCCGTATTTGTTTAAAAGTTTTTCAGATTGAGTTAAAGCTCCTTTGGCATTTTTAATCTCATTGCTTATATTAGATACAGTTGAAGATGATTTTACTGAAAATTAATAACAAAAACTTAATTAAAATATTAGTTGATAATTACAAGATTGTTTAATACTAAGATCTAACAGAGAGTTTCAAGAGTGTCCAAGCTTTGTTGAGATGTGCTTGCCAATTGTCTACTGACTGATAATAGTTGATTGGTAACAGTTGATGACTGTTTTAATAAATTTTCTTTATCCATTTTCAGCCTTAAACAAAATATTATTAGAAAAATTATTTACTAATCAATATTATTAATTTATTAATACAGTGAAAACTATGGTAATCAGAAAATATTGCCAAATTATTGATAACTATTAAGTAATTAATAAAAAATTATAAAAGTGAATACTGACTATAGCAGTAGAAAGTATTAAAATAATTGCTTAGATATTAAACCATAAAAATATATTCTCAATTATTAAATCCTCCTAATCAACATTTTTATTTATTCTGTACTTAAGTTACTACTTACTTATGTCTAACTTGTTCTTCTTTGCTTGAACCTAATAATTGTTCACTAGATTTTTTGTGGATCCTCGCCATACATTCTACATTAGCCTTTCTGAATGAAGCAATGTTACTACACAATTTCAATAATTAATAATATTAATTAGTTATATTTTTAATATTTAAGTAGGTGCAATTAAATACATTTTTGCGCCCTAGATTTTATGATTAAAAATATATTATTGTGTAATAAACAACGCTGTGTGAGGGTCAAGTTATGGGAAACAGTTTGCACCATGTGTAAGATGCCACAAATGAAAAACAATTTAATCAGATTTATTAGATATCTCTCAATAACAAACAGTAAGATGATAAAAAWAAACATTATAATGCAATTCCACAAGTCATAATCATCTTAATGTGCAGGTATACTTTGATAGTCAGTGCTTAAGTTCCAAATGACTTATTTAGTACAAAAGATTAAGCTTTAGTTTACTTTAAATTACCTAGTTAAATATTCTCTCTGATTACGGGCTTCTTCTAAAACTTCTGATCGTTCTTGTTGACTTTCCGCTTCTCGAGCATACAGCTCTAAGTTTTCAATTAAATTTCTAAATATGTTAATTTGATTTCTACCATCTCCATTTAATTGCGTAAGAGATTCAATTGGACCATCACATGAATATATATCCTACGTTTTAAAACAGGTATTTAATAATTTTAAGCATACCTTTGAAAACTATTTAGTATTATTAATAATTAACCTGTATTATAGATTTTAATGTAAGATTTGTATTTACTATGCATTCTCGAACTGTGCTTAATTCTTTTATCATCTTGAAATATTAAAATTTAAACAGCACAATTGCACAATAGTAAAAATGTACACAATCTTTAAATCAATAAATAGACAAACTCAAAGAACAATTTCCCTATCTCTATAAATCCAAATCAACTATCAACATAATTTTTAAATTCTATTCAGTATCCTTGATAGTGTCAAGTACAACTTAAATAATTATAGTTTTCAGTCAATTTAAACGAATCATTTATCAACATAGTATCTTGTCTAGTTATAATTTGGTGTAATAGATAAAATATTAAAAAACTAAACGTAGTTTTTAATTTTTGATGTACTCGTTGATGTCATCGTTATGATAGATAACTATTATGAATTATGATTTGTAAACGCTGAATAATTATTGTAAGTTTAAAGTTGTTACTACTAAAATKCTACTAACTATATTATTTTCATGATAAGTTTATTATATCATGATTATTTTAATCAACAGGATTATCAATTATTATTATCAAATACATAGATAAGAATACTTCTCTGAACTCTGAAGGATACAAATTAATCGCACGACAGCAGCTGCTGAGCTGCAGTCGTGCTGTAAGTTGCTGATATTTTGTACGGTTTTATGTACTATTATAGTTGTTCTGTGGTTGTACCAATTTGCAGTACGCGATATCCGACACACATTAATACGACTTATCGTACTACAATTAGTTGTTCAACTCATCGTATATATTCATGGTAGGAACTAGGAGCATCATTACGATTTGTCGTATTTTAGACTTGTCGTACGATAGATTTTATGCAAGTTCAAACGTATCAAACATGATTTAAAGTTAATTAAACATGATTAAAGACATTAAAGTCATAATAGTTTCTAGGATCTTTAGAATAATAAATATAACTTGAAAAAATATTTTAAAGTCCAACAACCAAGTTCCGTGAAGAGGAAATAACTATCCAACTACTCCTCAACTAGATAGAATTAGGTATAAATATCACAGTCACTTGGTTTGAAGTAACAAAGGTGTGTGCGTACGGAAATATATATATATATATATTCATTGTGTATGAAATTATTTAGATATATAATGCAATTATCAGTGGCGTATCCAGGGGGTGGGGGTTATGGGGTTGTAACCCCCCCCCAGAAAATTATTCAATGTTTAATTCATTTAATGATCGAACGACACATCACAAATAAAATTCAACACAATTTAATGTTATATTTTTTAATCCCCCGAAAAAAAAATGCTGGCAATTATATTTAATTTTTTTTTAATCTATTTATAAAGATATAAATACAATTTATACACATAATAAGTACTTACAATAATTAATTTCAGTTGAGTACATAACCAGAATTAACAAGATTGGGAGAGCACTCAGCAGTAGTGCAACCCGGCAAAATTATATTAGAAATTCTCTAGGCACGATCCATTTAAGACGTCATTGGGGGTTATCGAGAATTTAAAAAAAGGATAAGAGTTTTGTTAGTGTATTATTATAATGGATTAAATTAAAGTGAAAAAATATGTATTGAAAATTGGTTAGTTTTTGAATATTTAAATATTTGTGATGAACCGTGGAGTAAAGAAATATTAACTGAAACATTAGAGTTGTGATTGTGTTGAAGGGTTGGCAGAGACCTTAATCTAGAAGTAAAGTGTAAAAGCCAGTGAATAATTGAGATTTAAGATACCCAAAAACAAAATTACKGKTTTTAGCAAGATTTAGTTAAACATATAGAAGTCAACGCTAGATGGCCCTAACTGTCAGTCAATTAGTAAGCTTAACATACGTCGACGTGCAACCATTCTATCTAAAGCCGTGGTCAGGTGGTCAAATATCAAGCCTAGATACTATATTGTAGGAGTAGTTTTTTACATTTTGTTTTTAACTTATAGAATTTTGATGTAATTTATCATATTTAAAATTTGAATTATTATTAAAATGCTTTGTATGCCGTATCAGATGTTAATCTTCAACACCAGGCAGTTTACTAGATAAATTAAAACATTAAGTTTAAAATTTATAAAGTGTGGTAACATTTATTGAGCACCTATCATGAACTCATTTCACACCATAATATAACTAATTAAATATAAGTTTAATTATATGGTAGGACCTTGCTTGTCCAACTTACATGAAACTGGAGGTTGTTGGATTAAGAGAGTATCAGTCAGATTATTGAGGGTTATATAGTATATATGTTTATTTAATTTTTAATTTATGAATATAACGGTAAAAACATAGTGTTGGATTGCAAGATTCTGTATTGAACAACACTTAGAAATTAAAATAGCATTTGTCACTAGTGATATGAGTAACCTTTGGATATAAGCAATAATTCGAGAAAATCTAACTAATATACTGTGAATACAAGTTATTAAATAATTATTATTCATTACCATCCTTAAAAATCATTTACCACTTAGTTCATGTATGACTTGCTCGGAATTAATCAACAGTTATAAGTCATAACTTATATTATGATCTTTGAATGATGAATATCATATTTCATTAGCGGAGTCCAACCCCCTAACAAGTGTTGTTAAAAAAATATCTTAAATGGGGTGGATAGTTCTTGGCGCTTAGCCTCTTATGGTCATTAAGACATTAMGGCTGCTCATATAGGTAATGTAGATAGTATAATAAAGTATTACAATAATATAGTAATAACCTTCATACTTTTAACAACACGAGTTTGGATTAAAYATTTTTGGTGAGTAGTATTTTCTGAAAATAAATTTAACAATAGTACTTTTTTTAGWGCTTGGTACTACTGGCTTTCATTGTACTTAAAAATATTTATTTTTTAACCGAAGTAAAAATGAATATTATAAGATAGCTCAACTTTTGCCCACAGAAAAACAGATGGTATAAATGTAATTCCAGTTTAATTAATCACCATCACATTTAGGCCTAAGTTAATTTATTATACTAAACTCAGTTATTGTTT